GTTTTTAAGGCTAAAGTCACCTGACTGAAATTTGCTGAACCATCGTTGACACTTATGAACGGTCAAAATATTTCCATAAACTTCTTTGATATTCTTTGTGGCTACAGAGGCTTTGTTTCACTTCTCGTATTCAAACAGCATTACATGCGGAATGTGTGTCTGGTCGTGTGGCATCACTATAAGAGATTAGAGTATACTAAACTTTACACATTACATAGGCTACACTAACGTGATGTTTAGGGGTTCATTTAACTATTAAACGTGATGTACGTTTTTTGGGGGGTGGTTAATGAAAGTGTTCCAAAATGTCACACTAATTTCTTGATGACCCAATATAATGCAAGTGTTAAATTTAGTTATTTTTAGAAGTGATAGTTTATAGCAGGTTTGTTTACGTAACTATGCGAATTATAGGTTGTGTAGTTCGATTGTCGAAAATTGGTGATTGTTGTATTATTGCATCATGTTACTAGAACCTTCTAAGTTTTTCTCGAGTATTATTACATATTTATATTGTTGCATATCTGTTTGTTAATTTCAAATCCTTTCTTAATTAACCCAGTTTATGCTTCCTCGATACAAACTTTGTAATACACAGAATTTCCACAGTCAATACGTTTTCTCGTCATTTTACTTAACAACCTTTATAACACAAGCTATAAATCATAGTGATTCACACACTTTACTTACGGTGCCACTGGTTTTTCTCGCTAGGCTTATATACTAAAAAAGATGTCGTCCTAAACAAACTCGATCTTTCCCAATAATTCATGATCCTTCGAGAAACTCCAGCGTGAATGCTCCCAGCATTGCATGACTTCCGCTGTCGTAACAATATATTGTAGTGTGTCAAAAGTTCTAGACCTCAGTTGGGCTATTTATAAATTTACGTCCAAAATTAGTTAATGAGCGATATAGTCAAATGCATCTAGACTGGGGGTTTGCGAGTTTAGCCACAGAAATCGTATAGCAGTTATTATAAACTAAATTATCACAGATTGTATTGTAATAACATAGCAGAGAAGAAATAATTTGTCTTATCAATTGTATTCTAAAGTAATTGAACAAACCTGTGTGGACTTTTGACGAAAACAGTCAAATATCTAAAGCTCTGAATACAACTGTGGTAACCAACAGTATCACGTAAGTGAACTTATTACTAATTCTATTGTAATAAAGAGAAGAAATGAATAATTTGTCTTGTCCACTGTGTTCTAATGTAACTGAATCAGCCTGCATGGACTTTAACGAGAAGAGACAATTATTCAAAACTCTGGGTACAGCTGTGGTGATTAACTGTGTAACAAACATTTTTATATACATTTGACTTGTTTCAATATACTGTTACGTCTCCGTTTGTTAATTGATTTTCCGTAACTTCGTTCCGACGAAACTTTAGCGACACATGTCCTTTACTTAATTAAAATGGTTTATTTTTTCCGAATACAACTTTATGATACACTTATTTTCAACAGTCGCGCTATAACAAACTATAATAACGACGTTAACTTCAACAATACGTCTCTCTCTGACTGCAGTTCAATTACTCATTACCTACACACACATTATTCTGTCGCGTTGTCACCCTCTTATATATACCAGCACCCCCAATCTAGTAAATGCTAAAGCACTCCCGATAGAACGGGATAGTTCTAGAAAGCAGGTGGCGTGGCAATAGTCACGTGATCTCGCTGACGCAACAATACTATTTTAAAACAAATGGACTGTGTGCTGTTTGTTTATTGTTGAAATTTATCGAAATAAATTCACAGACACCTGCTGTAAAGAATCCAGCCCATATATCTATATATAAGAACCTGACAATATTATTGCATCATAATATCTAGTAGTATGTGGAATATTCTAGATCTCTGTCGGAGTATAAATACGTGTCAAAAATGTAGTTCGACAGATAGATACAGGCTGCGTGATTGTGAGTTTGGCGATAAAAAGCGAAAAGTGGCTATTTTTTAAAC